GAAACTCCCCAAGTTATTTTCCGAGGCTCGCTGCAGGCTTGAACCCCCAGGGTCAAGTGATCCTCCCGCCCCAGCCTCCCAAGTAGCTGGGACTACACACTCACACCATCACGCCTGGCTATGTTTTTTATTTTTCGTTTTTACAGCCACGGGGTCTCACTTTGTTGTCCAGGCTGATCTCAAACTCCTGGCTTCAAGTGATCCTCCCACCTCAGCCTCCCGAAGTGCAGGGATTACAGGAGTGAGCCACCGTGCCTGGCCTAAAAATACTTAATTTAGAATTTGACTCTAGGGAGTTGTCAAAAATGTCAAAAGGTTTTAAAACACTTGATTAAATAAGATCTTGGCTATCTAATCAAAGTGACAACAAAATGAAAGCAAGTCCAGAGGGCTCCACAGTTAGGAATCAGATTTAGCTGTTGTCGTGTTGAGAAGACTCAGTTTTCTCAAGTAACCTGAGACCCAGTAAGATAAACACGCAGCACAAGAAATCTTCTTAAAATTATCATAAAACACAAAATCGTTGTTTCTTAGCCCAATTATTTAAAAGATAAAAGTTTTCATAATACCAAATTCTGGTGTGGCATCAGGGCACTCTCACTACTAAAGCTGATGTTGAAAAAGAACTCCATGAAGAACTCCCGCCAATCTTAGCCAGCTTTGACTACACAAGGTAAGATTCGCTTTCAAGGATTCCTTTTCCACAAACCTTTAAAAGCCTTTTTTTAATGTCTCCATCTGCTTCTTGTTTTCCTCCCACATCTTCTTTATCTCATTCTGGAAGAACCAGTCATTCTGCTTCAGTAGAGAATTGCTAAATCCATTTCCCTCAACAGAGAACACATCCTTCATCTCTTATAACTTTTCTTAACAAAAACATTTTTCTTTTTCTTGTAAAGTTTGTGTGTTAGTCTTTTTCCATGCTGCTGATAAAGACATACTTCAGACTGGGCAATTTACAAAGAAAGAGGATTTTTTGGTTTGGTTTGGTTCTGTTTTTTAGATGGAGTCTCACTCATGTTACCCAGGCTGGAGTGCAGTGGCACAATCTCCGCTCACCGCAACCTCCGCCTCCTGGGTTCAGGCAATTCTCCTACCTCAGCCTCCTGAGTAGCTGGGATTACAGGCACACACCACCACGCCCAGCTGATTTCTGTATTTTTAGTAGAGACGGGGTTTCACCATGTTGGCCAGGATGGTCTCGTTCTCCTGACCTCGTGATCCACCTGCCTCGGCCTCCCAAAGTGCTGGGATTACAGGCGTGAGCCACCACACCCAGCCAAGAAAGAATTGTAATTGGACTCACAGTTCCACGTGGCTGAGGAAGCCTCACAATCACGGCAGGGGGCAAGGAGGGTCAAGTCACATCTTTCGTGGATGGCAGCAAGCAAAAAGAGAGAGCTTGTGCAGGGGAACTCTTCATAAAACCGTCAGATCTTGTGAGAATTATTCATTATCATGAGAACAGCACGAGAAAAATCTGCCTCCATGATTCCATTACCTGCTGCTGGTCCCTCCCACAACACGTGGGAATTCAAGATGAGACTTGGGTGGGGACACAGCCAAACCATATCAGTTTGTATACAGAGTGTTTTCCTTATTATTTCTAATAGCTTTAATTATGCATATTCACCCAGGTGTGGTGGCTCACATCTGTAACTCCAGCACTCTGGGAAGCCAAAGCCAGCAGATCACTTGAGGTCAGGAGTTTGAGACCAGCCTGGCCAACATGGGTGAAACCCTGTCTCTACTAAAAATACAAAAATTAGCCAGGCGTGGTGGTGCGTGCCTGTAGCCTCAGCTACTCAGGAGGCTGAGGTGAAAGAATCACTGACTCTTCCCCACCTCCACTGGAGGTGGAGGTTGCAGTGAACCAAGATCATGCCACTACACTCCAGCCTGGGTGACAGAGCGGGGCTTTGTCTCAAAAAAAGTATGTCTATATAAATCATAATTTTTAACTCCTAGGAACCTTAATTTCTCGTGGAAACCAGGAGGCGCTTGGCGCTGCTGTCTGTGGCCCCAGCGTTCTGCTGTCTCACAATTTTAGAAGTGGGGGCCCCCTCGTAGACACTTTCTCATGTTTATCAACAGGCCCAAATATATTTAGCTTCTCTGTAATGCGTGAAAACAAGATGCCAAAACTCTATCCGCTTATGCTTAGCAATTAATGTTTCAGGATTTGTTTTTCTGTCACCAGGCTGGAGTGCAGGGGCGCGATCTCAGCTCACTGCAACCTCCACCTCCCGGGTTCAAGCAATTTGCTGCCTCAGCCCCCTAGCTGGGACTACAGGTGCCTGATACCACACCCAGCTAATTTTTGTATTTTTAGTAGAGACGGCATTTTACCATCTTGGCCAGGCTGGTCTTGAACTCCTGACCTTGTGATCTACCCACTTTGGCCTCTCAAAGTGCTGGGATTACAGGTGTGAGCCACTACGCCCAGCTCAGTCTTTTCTATTTTAATATTATTTTACATACATTGGGCCTGCCTTTTAAAAATCTATGACAATGAAACTTTTGAAGAATGCAAACCGGTTATTTTGTAGATTGGCCCTACATTGAGCTTTTCCAACATTTCTGCGTGAACAGATGGGCACGGGAGCCAGGCGTCCTTCCCGGAGCATGGGATGCTGGCTGCCCACCAACGGTACCTTTGATCCACTAAACTGCCACCCACAACCTTCTAGCAGCAAAGTTACCACTGTTCCCTTTGTAATTGATACGTAAGCCAGGTGCGGTGGCTCACACCTGTAGCCTGTAGGTCTAGCTACTCAGGAGGCTGAGGGAGGAGGATTGCTTGAGCCCAGGAGTTTGAGGGTTGAGGTTGCAGGCAGGCATGAGCACACCAGTGCACTTAAACCTGGGCAGAAGAGCCAGACCGTGTCTCATATGTATCTACAGACTCTCGTCACCCTGCTGTGCTATCACACACTAGCTCTCATTCATTCTCCCTCTCTCTGTGTATGAGACAACACACATGTCAAAGAACTGAAGCACAATTGGATTGTTTGGGCCTGCATTTACCTTGATGCAATTATTACACATTGTATGGCTGTGTGGACGTGTCTCATGTACCCAACAAATAGATACACCTACTATGTACCCACAAAAACTAAATTTAAATGAAAAAAAAAGAAATGGTCCGGCGCTGGATAGCTATAACTTAATTTGACTTAGAATAACTTTCATTTACTTATTTGTTTTTATTTTACTTTGAGACAGGGTCGCGCTCTGCTGCCCGGGCTGGAGTGCAGCGGTGCGATCACCCCCGCCTCGCCGGGGCTGGAGTGCAGGGGTGCGATCACCCCCGCTTCGCCCGGGCTGGAGTGCAGCGGGGTGCCCGGGCTGGAGTGCAGGGGTGCGATCACCCCCGCTTCGCCCGGGCTGGAGTGCAGCGGTACGATCACCCCTGCTTCGCCCGGGCTGGAGTGCAGCGGGGTGCCCGGGCTGGAGTGCAGCGGTGCGATCACCCCTGCTTCGCCCGGGCTGGAGTGCAGCGGGGTGCCCGGGCTGGAGTGCAGCGGTGCGATCACCCCTGCTTCGCCTGGGCTGGAGTGCAGCGGGGTGCCCGGGCTGGAGTGCAGCGGTGTGATCACCTCCGCTTCGCCCTCCCAGGCTCAAGCCATCCTCTCACTTCGGCCTCCCAAGTAGCTGGGACCGAGGTAGGTGCCACCCACACCAGCTAATTTTTTATTTTTATTTTTTTTTTAGAGATGGGATCTCTGGGTCTCCTTGTGTTGCCCGGGCTGGTCTCAAACTGTTGGGCTCAGGCAGTTCTCCTGCCTTGGCCTCCTAAAGTATAAAATAACTTTTAAGGTTGCAGATTACCAAAAAGGTTTTGGAAACTGTTTTTAAGTAGACATAATTTATAAAACAATTATTGTTTAGAAGTTCATTTATACCGGGCATGGTGGCTCATGCCTGTGACCCCAACACTTTGGGAGTCAGGGATAGGAGGATCGCTTGAGCCCAGGAGTGGGAGGCTACAGTGAGCTAGGACCAGACCACTGCACTCGAGCTGAGCCTGGCGGATGGAGACAGACTCTGTCTCTAAAAAGTAAAAATTAAAAATTTTAATTTAGGCTGGGCACAGTGACTCACACCTGTAATCCCAGTACTTTGGGAGGCCAAGACAGGCAAATCACCTGAGGTCAGGAGTTCAAGACCAGCCTGGCCAACATGGCGAAGCTTTGTCTCTACTAAAAAAATTAAAATTAGCTGGGTGTGGTGGCACGTGCCTGTAATCCCAGCTGCTCAGGAGGCTGAGGCAGAAGAATCACTTGAACCCAGGAGGCGGAGGTTGCAGTGAGCCGAGATCACATCATTATACTCCAGCCTGAGTGACAGAGCAAGACTCCTTCTCAAAAAAAAAAAAAAAAATTTAGAAATGTATTTATCAACTCTTACAGCACTCATATTCACCTAATTCACTTGTTCGTAACAATTGTCCTTGAACTGCTCATGAAAATTTCATGCGACATTAAGCAAAACTAGCCATCTTCATTACTTATTTTTCTTGGTGACCACAAATGTCAAAAACATCACAGAAGCAAAGAAACTAAAAAGATAGGCTGGGCACGGTGGCTCACACCTGTAATCCCAGCACTTTGGGAGGCCAAGGCTGGTGGATCACAAGGTCAGGAGTTCGAGACCAGCCTGGTCAACATGGTGAGACCCCCCACCGTCACTGCCGTCTCTACAACAAATACAAAAATTAGCCAGGCGTGGTGGCACGTGCCTGTTATCCCAGCTACTTGGAAGGCTGAGGCAGGAGAATTGCTTGAACCAGGGAGGCGGAGGTTGCTGTGGGCTGAGATCGCACCGCTGCACTCCAGCCCGGGCAGCACAGACGATGATGGTATACATGTCCAACTATCAGTTTCTCATCAAGCCAACTTTTGACCCAAAAACTCAAAAAAAATCCTTTCAAATATCCTGTTATCACATTTCTGCTGGAACACAGTAAAAATTATTCTTGGCAGTATTGAGCTCTTTTTTGTTCTTATTTTAAACCAAAAAGACTTTCAAGTGACTCAGAACCAAAACCAATAAGCTTTTTATGACCTAACCATGGATGAAAGAGACACCTTCAAAAGGGGGTACAAAGGAGGCAGCCCCCCAGCCCGGAACCACCCCACAGACAGCAGAGAAAGGCCTTTGTCAGCACAGGAGGGAGGGGGCTGTCCAGCACTGACCCAGTGACAGACGTGGAGGTGGCAAAAGCCCTTGTGGGCGGGAAACCTCCCTTTACAAGCCCCCTAGGGGCTGGCGCGTCCGGCAGTGATGCTCAGGCTGGCAGAGGCCAGGGAGAGCGTTCTCACCCTTTGTAAAGCCAAGCTCTCAGAACATGAGCCCAACAGGAGAAAAGCAGCTGCCCCTGGGAGGAAAGGATCCGTTTGTACCAAAACCAAATTTACACGAGAGTCACAACCCACACGAATGGCTTCCTCCTGCCATGCTGAACTGGGAAAAGCAGGGACAAGAGTGTTTGCGTCCCACCCTCAACTGGGCACTGCAGACAGACACCCAGAGAGCGGCTGCGGTCAGAATCCCCTCTGATCTCCGCTGGCTTCGAGTCAGTCTCCCGGCATCTCATCTGTGGGCTCGGAGCAGGCTGCCTGTCGGCAGCTGAGACCCAAGGCACACATGACAGGTTAACGAGAGAATCAGCCGTGTACGGGACACAGGCATTCCGTCTCACAGGACAGGTTAACGAGAGCAGCACGCTTGTGGATAGGACCCAGGCACTGCTCATTTGTGAAGCTTTCCTGCACCCATCACCTCAGTAACCCCAGGGCGGCGTGTGGGCCTTGACCCCAGGTCCAGGCAGTGGCCCAGGCCCCTCCTCGGCAGGGCCTGGCCGTGCCCTCCAGAGCAGCTCAGATGGGATTCTCATAGCTCGTGAAGCTGGAGAGCCTCTCCCGAAGGGCCTTGAAGCAGGGTCTCTGCTCAGGGTCCCTGCACCAGCAGGTCAGCATCAGCTTGTGCACACTGGGCGGGCACGCCGAGGGGCAGGGCATTCGGTAGCCGGCATCCACCCTCAGGAAGGCCTCATGGTTGGACATGCCTGCAGCCAACAGGGATGAGAAGAGCTGGGGCCCAGCTTGCCCACCCTCCCCAAGGAAGCCACCCCAGCCACCCCTGCCCCTTTCTGGAACACTGCCTGCTGCAAACACCTCCCGCCAGATGGGGCTCCAATGGGCAGCTCCAGGCACCGGCCTGGGTGTTTAGAGAACGGTGCAGGTGTGGAGCTCAGGCACTGGCTTGTGGCAGAGACCCCTGCAGCCCTTGTGGGAAGCCCCTCCCACCGTCCCTGCAGCCGCCCAGGACCAGCTCCACTCTCCCCCAGCACCCAGTCAGGGACACTGGAGGCAGTACCTGGGTAGGGCACCTGGCCCCTGCTGAAAATCTCATGCAGGAGAATCCCGAAGGACCAGACGTCAGACTTGCTGGAGTAAAGGCCTCGGGAGAGCGCTTCGGGGGCCGTCCACTTATAGGGGACGTTGTGGTCGTGGGAGAGGTAGATGTCCTCCTGCAATCAGGCCGGCTCTGAGTGGGCCTCGGGGGCCACCTCTGCCCTGCCCCCATGGCATGGACACACACAGCGGCCGCACCGCAGTGGGACCCATGCACAGGTCATCGGCCTGTGGCTAAGCTCGCGCTGGGGCCTGAGCACCTTCAGGAGCGCAGCTTCCCCTGGGATTCCAGGTCCTTGGGGATGGGAGGGCCTGGGGCACAGGAACTGGAAGGCTCCTGGGCTGAGCCAGTGAACGCGGCATGTGAACAAGGCAGCGGCTGCATGGTGGGCCCTGCTGTGTGCTCCTTTGGGAATGAGGACACCCCCCCAACTTGCTGCGGCTTCCCACCTCCTTGCTCAGCCTGGGCTCCCGAGGGCAGGGGCCGAATCATGCGCCTGGCTGAGTCCCCAGCTCCACACAGGAAGCCCTGAGCCCTCCACCCCTGCCCTCCGAGGGCCCTACCTTGATGAGCCTGGCCAGCCCGAAGTCCCCGACTTTGCAAAGGGTGTTTTCCCCGACGAGGATGTTCCTGGCGGCCAGGTCACGGTGGATGTAATTCTGCGACTCCAGGTAACACATGCCCTCAGCCACCTGCCATGCGATGTCCAGCAGCTCTGAGACAGGCAGGGCTTTCTCATCAGAGTCTGCAGAGGGGAGTGGAGCCCGGGGTCAGCCAAGCCCACTGGGGTGAGGACGGGGTGGAGGCCAGGTCATGTCCCATCTGCCTCCAGGCTCTGTGGGCTCAGAGGACGGGCTGGGGCAAAGGGCAGAGCTGGCCTGATTTAAGATTAACCTCGGGCCAGCCACTGCTCTCCTGGAAGGCGACCGTGTATGGAGAACCAAGAAGCAGTTCCTGGTGCCCCAGCCCAGCAGCTTCCCTTGGGGAGGTTTGTGATGGCAGCGGAGAAGCTGGACACAGGAGGCCGAGCGAGGAGACGCCCGTTGCCGAGGGATGTGCGCAGCGGGAACTCGGGAGAATGGCTGAGTGACAGCAGCGTGCGGCGTTCTGTTTGCGGAGAGCCCCGCCTGGCACGGGGACTGAGACGGTCAAGCCCTCCGTGTGAGGACGAGGGTACAGAGCCTCAGCTCGGAGCTCAAATGTGAGTGGTGTGTCAGCGTCTTTTCCTGCCCCGCCACGACCCCTCCCATGTGACCGTCCAAAGCCAAACGGCACCTTCACGCGGGGCCTCTCTGTTCCCTGGAGCCAGTGTCTTTGGTTTTGGTGATTAAAAAAATATTATGGAAAGAAAAAAAATAACAACAAAGAAAGAAAAATAATGGAACTTAGAGACGATGACGTCCCTGAGCCAGTGTGACTCGTGTGTGTCCGTGTGTGCATGTGTATGTGTCTGTCTATGTCTGCGTGTAGACGGGGGGGTGGGCTTGCCAATGCCATCTGTGTTTGTGTGTGTGCATGTGTGTCAGTGTGTGCATGTGTGTCTACGTGCGTTGTCTGTGTGTACATGCATGTGAGTGTGGATGTGTGTGTGTAGGCGCAGGGAGTGAGCTTGCCATTGCCATCTGTGTGTGTGTGTGTCTGTGCATGTGTGTCTGAGTGTGTGTGTGGGGGGGGTGTGGGTGTGGGGGGGTGGGCTTGCCAATGGCATCTGTGTGTGCATGTGTGTCTGTGTCTGTGTATCTGTGTGTCTGTGTGTGCTTGTGTGTCTCTGTGTGTGTGTGCGTGTCTGTGTGTGTGTCTGTGTGTGTGCGTGTGTGCCTGTGTCTGTGTGCGTGTGTGCCTGTGTCTGTGTCTGTCTGTGTGTGCGTGTGTCTGTGTGTCTGTGTGCGTGTGTCTGTGTGTGACTGTGTGCCTGTGTGTGCGTGTGTGTGTCTGTGTGACTGTGTGTGCATGTGTGTCTGTGTGTGTGCGTGTGTGCGTGCATGTGGGTGCATGTGTGTCTGTGTGTGTCTGTGCGTGTCTGTGTGTGCACGTGTGTCTGTGTGTCTGTGTGTGTCTGCATGTCTGTGTGTGTGTGTGTGTGCATGTGTGTCTGTGTGTGTCTGTCTGCATGTGTGTGTGTCTGTGCGTGTGTCTGTGTGTGTGTGTCTGTGACTGTGTGTGTGCGTGTGTGTGTGCATGTGTCTGTGTGCGTGTGTCTGTGTGTGTGCGTGTGTCTGTGCCTGTGTGTCTGTGTGTGCATGTGCGTATAGACATGAGGGGACGTACACTTCATTTCCTCATGCGCCCCACCTGGCGCTGGTGCCACTCACCGCGAAGCAGCTCCAGCAGGCTGCCCTTGGCCATGAGCTCAGTGATGATGTACACGGGGTCCCCCGCGGACACCACGGCATACAGTGCCAGGATGTGTTTGTGCCGAAGCTTCTTCATGGCCTGGATCTCCGACTGCAGCGCCTGCTGGTGCAGGAGATTGTCTGCGGGGACAGGTGGCCTCGGTGGGTGCAGGCCCTGAACCCCCAGGCACCAAGGAAGAGGCCGAGGCCCTGCCCCCACACACAGCAGCTATGTAGGACACATGGACCTCCTGCCCCAGACAGGGCACCTGGCTCCCGAGGCCACGAGGATGGTGAATGCAGCCAGCCCTGCAGGCCCCCAGCCCGGCGCTCCCACGGGATCATCATGGCCACCTGCTCTTACCACACAGCCCCCGCCCCAGGCTCAGACCTCTGACATGGAGGCCAGACCTCTGCTGAGGCCCAGGCATGTCAGGGGAAGCTTTTCAGATTTCCAGGGATCTATTTGAATGGCTTTCCTTTACATCAAGGATTTTTAATTTTCTTTTTTCCCCGAGATGGAGTCGCACGCTGTCACACAGGCTGGAGTGCAATGGCACAATCTCAGCTCACTGCAGCCTCCACCTCCTGGGTTCAACCCATTCTCCTGCCTCAGCCTCCCAAGCAGCTGAGATTACAGGCATGCACCACCACAGCCAGCTAATTTTTTTGTATTTTTAGTAGAGACAGGGTTTCTCCATGTTGGTCAGGCTGGTCTCCAACTCCCTACCTCAGGTGATCCACCTGCCTCAGCCTCCCAAAGTGCTGGGATTACAGGTGTGAGCCACCGTGCCTGGACAAATTTTCTTTTATAATAACTGTATTTAGGTAAAAGCAAAGGTGCAATAGAAAGGGAACTGCTCCCACACGGATGCTGTGGGTGGTCTGTGGGGCTCCAGCCCGGAGGTCCCTGGGGGCGGGAGGGCAGCCCAGGGCGGGCACGGGGCCAGGCAGAGGGGCTCACTCACCTCGAGAAATCACCTTAATGGCCACCTGGACCCGGTCTTTCCAGAGCCCCTCGAAGACCTCCCCAAAGTAGCCGGAACCCAGCTTCCTGCAGAGCGTGAACTCCTCCCTTGGCCTCTCCCAGTCGTCCCAGTGGGGCAGAGGCTCAGGCTCGTGCTGGAGGGGAGGCAGACACAGGGCAGGGACTCACCCTCAGGAAGTGCCACCTGAGGCTAGCACAGGGAGCCCGGATTTGCCCTCAGATTTAGGGCCACATTCAGCTTGGGGGCAGTTCTGAGTGTCTGGCACGAGGCTAGACTCTCCCAGGCAGCTGCCCCCCAGCCCAGCACAAAACGCCCAGAGACGGGAGGGACCAAGACCCCACAGACTGCAGCAGGCCTCTCAAGAGTGGCCAGGCTCAGCAGGTGGCCTCCAGGCACCACCCAACTCAGGCAAACACCCCTGCTCTGCAGAGCCATGGGATTCCCTCCAGTGGACCCCGGGTTAGTGAGTCAGGACCCCTCCCACGCTGCCCGGCCAACCGCTCCCAACAGGAAACACAGGCCCGAGACCGCCCCAGCCTGCCTGACCCTGCGCTACCAAGCCAGGGCGGGCAGCTACCTTCCGGCAGGGTGCGGCCAGCCGCAGGCCGTGGGACAGGCTCTGGGTCCTGTGGTAGTTCACCAGCTCGGGCAGGCTGGGGAAGGACACCGCCTCGTTCAGGTGCAGCCGGCCCCTGGCGTGCCGCCAGATCTTGTAGTGTCGCACGGTCTGCGTGTCCCGCACTGGAGGGAGAGCGAGAGCCGTGTGGCCGCCCAAGTCCACCGCCTCCCACGCCTGCTCAGAGTTTCTGAGTCCCAACCCCTGCCCCCGCTCCCTTGGAACAACTCCCTCCTGCCCTGCAGGCTTTGGCCAAGCTCTAGGGCCTCTCCTGCTCCTCTGCCAGGTGGCCTCCACATGGGTGGGAGCTGCCCGAAAACCCATCCACGCTGAGTCCTCAGGGACAGGGCGGAGTCTCTCTGTACCCCACACACCCCAGACGCAGGGTCTCATGCTGGACAAGGTTCCCATGGGTGCCCAGGCAGGGCTGGCCTGAGAAGTCCCTGCCCTCCCAGGGAGGGGCCCTGCCTCACAACTGCCCTAGCAGCCAGCCACCCAGCCCCCAAGGAGGATCGGCCCAGGTGGGCAGAGGGCATGGGAGCCACCTGGAAAACAGCCCAGGTCCCCAGTCACAGCAGAGCGAGCCGGGATCCCCTCATGGATGGGAGAGCTTAGAGCAAGGACCCCCCGCAGGCAAGCGCTGGCTCGGAGGTCGCACCCGAGAGGACGTAGTCGGAGCTCGGCTTCTCGCTGACCCTGATCAGGAAGGCACCCTCAGCATTGCCCGCGGCCTGCAGCCGATGCACAGCTTCCGAGCGGGAGATGCAGCCGAAGAACCACCTGCAGGGGAGGGCGGCCTGA